TGTATAGTTGGTTTGTTTTTTTTCAGTATAGGGTTATGTATAGAAATTGTTAATTTTCTTTGATCCAGATCATCAATTGATCAATGAATGTTAAGAATTTCATATTTAGATGAAATAAGAAGATCTAAGTAAACAATACTCTTATGTCCCGATAACAACAGTGAATGGTAACTTTGGGATCTATTTATGGACCAATATTATTTATCGTATAATCACTCAATAACTTAACTATTCACATTCATGTTCCTTTTATCATGAGCTTTATTTTGACCCATAGACTATTACTGTACGATTTACCATTCTTGAGTTATTCCTTGTCTATTAATTACTGTTCCCACTATTCACAGCCACATTTGGCTGAATCTTGTACAAATATTGTTTCTTATTTTATGGTACGATGTGGCCTGTTTGATTGGTATATAACCTCAGTGTGTTTGAAATGATAATGATTCATACTGCAAAGGCTGAGATTGGTATTCTGGACTTAACTGGTTGAGCTAGGCAGAAAGCAGGACCGATACGTACTCTAGACTACTCGTACAGGTTTCGTGTGTTACTGTTCACATCGATAATTCGCTGCTCTCTGATTGGCGATCTTATCACGTCATACATTTAGCAAGGCATCCGCTCAGCTACAGTTATAACAAATACTAAATGAACTAAGATGAAATGATAGTTGAATGATTTCACAGGGTTTTTTTAATGATGATCTAATAATGATCGGATCATGATCAGAGTTTCATTTGTTTTGAACGAATATTCTTTCATATTCATTGATTCACATAATATATTATAAATGATAATGTAAATGTTGATATTGTAATATGATCAGTGAATTAGTAAATAGTACTTGATTGACACACCAGAACGTATTTGTATTGTCAGTTAATTCACTAGTTCAGAAGGGGTTTTGTGAAGATTTCGGTATTTTCATAGTTAAAATCATGAGTCAATTGAAACTAGACCACCATGGAAAACGTGGAAGCACTGGATGACAATTGGTGAACGGTTGCTCAAATATCGTGTTTTGGTTGAATTTAGACATTAACACCGTTGGATGCCAACCGGCTCAATGGTCTATCGGTAAAGTGCTCTGGCGCAAGACTAGTAGGTCCTGGGTTCTAATCTCGCAAGTGCGGGATCGTGAATGCCCACTGCCGAGGAGTCCCATAATAGGACGAAACGGAAGTCCAGTGCTCCGAGGTTTTACATGGTAGTCTAGCTTCAATTGACTAATGATTTCAACTATGAAAATTAATTAGTAATCAACGATTACTACAATAAAATGTAAAAGATAAAAACTGACGAAGATTTTACTGTTATAAGACATTTGATACACATTGAAATCATGTGGTAGCAAAGATGTTATGACTTTAAACCCGGGATACGACTTATACAATCTTAGCACTGTGCAAAACAATTGAAGTATCGATAGATATAAGCAGTCTAGCGTCTTTATTGGTCCTCCCTCTTATCTAGCCCTTCCAGTCGAGTCCAAAACACTAGTAACAGCTTCCACAATGTGAATGCTTTATTTCATACATACTTAGTTTATATACTAACCAAACGGAACACATTATACCATAAAATAGAAAATGACATTTGTACAAAATCAAACCAAAAAGTGATTGTGAATATGGGACACTGTAATCAATAAACTGAACAATAAATAGTATAATAATAATCTATAGGTCAACATGAAGCTTAGAATAAGATGAATACAGTAAATGCAAATTGTTACTCCAGGACTGGCCTGCGTCAACACCCAAACTAAGGATAGGGAGTGAAGTAGTCGAACGCGTCGACAACTTCACTTATCTTGGAAGTCTGATCAGCCCTAATGTCTGACGAAATCTCAGCACGGATTCAGAAAGCTCGTTTGGATTTTGCCAACTCATGTCACCTATGGCGAAGGCGAGATATCCATCTATCAATTAACGGATGAGTATACTGTGCAGCAGTTCGCTCTGTTCTACTTTACGGCTGCAAAGCGTGGCCATTAAGAGTAGAAGATGCTCGTAGGTTACTAGTATTTGACCACAGATGCTTTAGAAATATTGCTCGCATCTGCTGGGATCACCGAGTAAGTAATAGTGAGGTTCGATACAGGGTATTAGGAAATGATGGTAAATCAGTTGATGAGGTGATGAATCTTCATCGACTGAGATGGTTGGGCCACGTGTTACGTATACTTAAACACCGATTGCCACGACGCGCTATGATGACTAGTATTGGGGACGGTTGGAAGAGAGTTAGGGGCGGCCAAACCAAAACATGGCATCAGTGTTTGAAGTCACTAACTTCTAGTCTAAGCCATGTTGGTAGGTGCAGATTACCTGGTTGGGGTCCGCGTGACTATCGTAACCAATGGTTGGAGATTCTAGGTGACATGTCTCAGGATCAATCAAAATGGCGTAGGTGTATACGCTTTTTATCCTCCCTTAAACCTTGAGATTAAAATTGCTTCATATCTGCCTTTCTCCCTGTACTATATCCTTATATACAACCTTTCTTTTATATACTACCACCACTAGATTAACTATTTCTATGAATCCGGTATTCATCTTGTTGTACTAACGAGGTATGGCAATTTGGACCGATGCATATATGTGCCTGGTCCTACATTGTAGCTGACTAACTGACTGAGAAACTTTTCTGTAACAAGTCAATTCATTGAAGAAATACAAAAGTTTAACATTTGAGCACATTCACTAATAAATTATTTATACCTTAGCAACTAATTTATTCTACCATGAATTTTATGTTGACAACAATTGAAATAAATGTAAATAATCGTTAAAATATTCTGTTTTCTTTTATATACACCACTTAGACATCATAGGTGATCAGTTGTAATGTTTTATTATGAAACATGATTTACCTCAAAACTCCGCCTGTAGCTCCTCTGGGGGTTACTGCCGGTCCCAAGCCCGGGTAAAGGAGGAGGGTTGGGCATGGGGTTAGCGACCCCATCCCGTAGAAAATCAACTCGCTAAAAAAACGCTAACCATAAAAAATGATTTGCCTCAAACAGTATAGATACAACTAAATAATAAATACTAGATAACATAGATACTAGATTAAGAACTATCTTCTGAACATTCTCTGGATACATAGATTTAAGAAAATTATAAGAATATAAAAGATGAGAAGAAAGAAAACTAGATCAAATAATTGACTAGATTATAACATCTCAAAAGTACGCATCCTATAATCCCGCCTAGGGGGATTCGAAGTCAGGACCTATCAGTCTTGCGCCTCAGCGCTTAACCTCTAGACCAGCTTCAATTGACTCATGCTCTCAACTATTAAAGTTATTATAATATCCTCAATAAAAATCCCTTCTGATATAAATTATAACAATTTCTATCTCAACCTTTCATTACTAAAAAACAAATCTGTTTCAATGAATATCCATTATTGCCATGGGGAATCACTGTTTAGTAGTTGATTAGAATTAAGCTGTCTGAATAAGTTTTCCAAATCAAACTGAATAAAGTTTTGAATTATGCAGTACATAATAACTTTGATGGAGTTTTATCCTCTGAGCTGGATGGTTTGGTCGTGGATCTTTCATTGTTCTTCTGAACAACATCATTAGCAAAAACTTCGTGTAGAAGTGAAGTGTTTGAATTTCTCCACGTATAGTTCACAGCTTGTCCTGTACATCTCGATGTTGATTGGTTCTTGTTGATCTTAAATCTGTCTTTTGGTTGTATCTCTCATTATTTTGATTTAAGTTCCTATGTTTGTGTATAATTTTTCTGATTGGATTGATTTCAATGTGCTTGCTCATTACTGATTACATCATAACTTGGTGTCATAAGTAAGATTATTCAGGGTTCGGAAATTGGGATAATCCATAAATATTAGTTTCCATGATCAGAGAATTAGACTTGATCAAACGTAAACAGTGAATTTCGAAGGTTTCATAATGATCCGTGCTATAAAATCCTTCAATTAACTTTAAATGTATACAGAAGACTACTACACAAGTGGTTGGCACGCATATATATATACACTAACTTTATCTTAAATTTTAATCTGACGGTTAAAATAAAGATAAGTAAGTTACTCAAGTGGTAAACACAAAAGAGTAAATAAGGTACAGCTAAGCTGATAGTTTAACCCTTTTCAGAATCAGAATGATAATCAAACAGTATAGGGAAGCCATTTCATCTTAGTATCGGATTCACCAGTAGTGTAACTACTTAGTACTTTACTATTGCTTGAACCCAGAACACCCAAGTTTTAATTAGCCAAACAACCAAATCATAAAGTATGTTCTGTTCATATCAAAATCCTAATCGATAGTAGCTGACTTGTATTTAATTGGTTTAATTTAATCGTTAGAATGGTTCTCAAATATTCAAAGACAAGATAATTATTTGATATGAAAAAATCCCATACCAACATAGATAACACTTTAAATGGAGGTTATTTATCGTTTAGATTGATATCATGAATGGATCAATGCTAGAACATAATTAAAAACTTGGAAGCACTAAATGGTATGAGACTTTTCAGTAATGTATATCTGCACTTAGGATTCGAACTCAGAACCTTGGTTCTCTCATGCAAAAGCATAACCTGTAGATCACTGAACGAGTATTCAACGTTGTTAATGTCAAATTTCAATCAATTTACAATATTACTCGACTGTTCACCATTGTCTTCAATGAGTAACTACCCAAAAACACATATGGTTAATTTGAATTTCATATTACTAAACATTAAAAGATTCTATACATTCAAGAAGTTAATACTATCTTTATATCAACTTCTAATAACTTCTAAACATAGAATAATTCACTTCACTAATAATGATAGTTGCTGAGGTGTACCACCATACAACGAAACGGTCATCCAATGCTTTCAGGTTTTCCTTAATGGTTTAGCTTCAACTGATTCATACTTTCATGAATGATTAATCATTTAATACATATTCATTATATACTACTATGATCATGAACAAATTATTTAAGTAATAAATAACTTACCTGAACCCATTATTCCTTTAAATGAATCAATGAAAAGTTGACAATGAATTGTGTTTATTGTAACACTTTACTTAAATTCAATCCCAATGATGTTTTTTTTTTGTTTTCGTTGTTCTTTTTTAGTTTCTGATTTTCTTTTTTTTTTTTGTTTTTGTTGTTCCCTTTTTGTTCCCGTTTCTGTTTCTGTTTGTTTTTTGTTGCTACCCTTAATAATTTGATCAAATTCTTTAAAAATAATATTGAATAGTGTTAATTAATTTAATGATTAGATAATAATAAAAATTATTTCCATGGTTTCTTGGATTAAATCGATTTCTTTTCTTTTTTGTAGTATATCAAATATCTCCCCCACCCACCCACATTTTGATTACTGTTATATATAGAAAAGAAAAGACAAGAGGAATCAACATGATGTTGGGATGCAAGGAGTAAACTTGGACATTTGTGATGATATTCATTAGTTTTCACATATATATATATATATATATGGATATGCATAGAAATTGTATGTATGTGTGTGTGAGGGTGTGTATGTAACTCAAATGAATTATTAACCAATCAGAAGAGAGTATAAACACACACATATCATACTGTTTGCTTACCTAATGATTTAACAGATTTCAGGTATAGTAACAATAATATTGTTGTTGTTGATATCATTGCTGTAATTAGTAGTATCGTATAATTAGTAGTAGTAGTATTAAAAGTAAGAACCTTTATTTAAACCCCGAAATATTTTTAACGTGGAGAACAACTACAACCATAGTCAAGAAGGTACAAGTATTTATAAATAGTTGTCTACGCAAAATACTCAATATACATTGGTCGGATACTATCAGAAACAGCGTTTTATGGGAAAGGACAAACCAACTTCCAACTGAAGAGGAAATTAGGAAAAGACGTTGGAAGTGGATAAAACATGCATTAAGGAAATTACCAATGTGCATTACAAGGCGATCCCTAACTTGGAATGGTGAAGGGAAGTGGAAAAGAGGAAAGCCAAAGAACACGTTACGGCGGGAAATAGAATTAGATATGAAAAGGATGAATAGCAACTGGAAAGAACTGGAAAGGAAGGCTCAGGACAGAGTTGGATAGAGAATGCTGGTGAGCGGCCTATGCTCCTCGACGAGGGGTAACAGGCGTAAGTAACTAAATAAATATTTTTAGAATGCAGATTATAGGAAATTGTAGTGATTTTAATAGTTAAATTTATGAGTCAATTAAAGCTAGACAACTATGGAAAACCTAGAAGAATTGAACGGCCTTTTCATTTTAGTATGGGACTCTTCATCAATGCGCATCCACGACCATGCAGGCGAGAATTGAACCCGGAACCTTCAGTTTTGCGAGCAAACGCTTAACATTCAGACTACTGAACCATTATCTAACGGTGTTATTGTCTAACTTCAACCAATCTACCATCTTGTGCTTTCAGGTTTTTGATGGTAGTCTAGTTTTAATTGACTCATAAATTCAACTATTAAATTGACTTATGTTATGTATGTTATGTATGTTTGTACATTGTAAATTACACATCATGTTAATGATCAAATGAATGATTCATTAATCTTTAGTGTTTATCGAATCTGGAAGCACTGGACGACCGTTTCGTTCTATTGTGGGACTTCCCAACAGCGCGCATCCACGATCCCGCCTCGCGAGATTCGAACCCAGGACCTACCAGTCTCGCGCCAGGGCACTTAACCGATAGATCACTGAGTCGGTTGTCATCCACCGGTGTTAATGTCTAGCTTCAACCAATCTACGAAATCGCGTGACCATCTTCCAATGTACTAAGGTAGATACCTGTCTCTACCTGACATGGATTACCTCCACTGGTCACGACTTCTCACTAGAACTGTTTGAGGTCTAGATAATTCGGTAGTTCTTATTTTTAAGTGTTGATTAGAAACGATAACGTCAATCAATAACCGATTACAACTCGTAGAGATGATTTGAAACCATTATGACATCTATCTTTGATTACTATCTTATATTTATTATGTCCTCTATTTGATTGTGACTTATACGGTATACGGCTATGGGTACTTAAACTAGAAAGAATCCCACAGTCACAGATCAAAAGACAGAAGGAATCAGAACAAGCATTTATTGAAAAAATGTAAAAAAAATGTGCAAAAAACACAGATGTTCATAATTTTTATCGCTCACATTAAAACTTCGGACATTCTGATTTAGTTTGTGACCATCCATTGTTTTAGGTGGCAACATGCCTTCTTTCAAACATAACTTCGGCAGGGGATTTTACATCTGGGACAGTGAGGTTTAAAGTAGTTCTATAAACTGTTAAGAATTTTGTAATTACTTGAATTATTGTGTCATTGTCTTCCTATTTCAGTAATTCTATTGTAACGGTGTCGATAAAGCGTCCTGCCTGTTCATTTAATTGAGGATGATACGGTGGAGAGCGTAGATGTGTTATTTCATTCATACTACAGAAGTGATTGAATGACTCTGAAATCAAACGTGAGACATTATCGGTCACTAAGGTCTCTCGTACTCCGAAACAGCTAAATAGATCAGATAATTTGCCGATCGTTTTATTGGTGACAGAGAACAATTCTTTCGAACAATTAGAAGACTACATGGAGCATCAGAGGAAACGGTTTGAACAGTCTCAAATAAGAACCATGAAAGCCTTAATATGAAAGATGTGTCTGTCCCAATTAGATAAACTGATCAATTCTTATATTCAAATTCACTTGAAGAAACGTGTATAATATAGTTTCATTTTATTTGTTTAAAGACAGATTTAACGATTGAAATCAGGAACAAATCTTGGATAAACCACTACTGAAAACCTGGAAGAACTGGATGACCTATCTGTTCTAATATGGGACTCATCCGGAGTGCACATACACGGCCCTGCAGATGAGAATTGAACCTAGGAATTTCGATTTTACGCTTAAACTTCAGATCACCGAACCGGCATCAAACAATGTTCATGAACTCAAAATTTTGATCAGTGCCTTACTAGAACGAAACAGCTTTTTAGTGTTTCCAGGTTTACGGTGGTAGTTGTTGAGATGTTCCAGAAAGTTTCTTTCCATAGATATGACAAGCTCAGGAAACATTAAGAAGCATTTTATCCAATTAGCGTTTGATTAGACGTTTTGCTAGAAATATCACGAAAGTGTGAAGTCACATATAGAGTTTCTGATAAGCTGATTACTCCACTGCTACTTAGTAGTATTCTAGAATTTTCAGGAAAACCCAAGAACTTCTAAAATACTATAAAAACCCTATATTTTCTGTACATAAATGAACCTTTGGAGTAAAGTACTTCTCGTATATTTTGGGCCTTTTCTCTCGTGTTCAAGTCGCTGTGTAGTTCTAGCTTGAGGGTTCACAAGACTAGCTTAGGATCCGAGTATAGCGTTCAATCAACAAAACTTATCAGTAGTCTAGAAAAGATCAATTTGTGACTTCAACAATGAAAATACCATAGTCTCCACAAATTAGAGTTCTCTAGTATATCTCGATATCTTATTTGTTTATTTACTTGATTAGAATAAACTTCAAATATTGTATCTTACTTCACTTCCATAGAGCTTAAAAGGCCTATGATATACACATCATAATTTGATAAATAAGTTAATTACCCTAGTTACTAATTACCTAATCAATAATGAAAAAAAAATGTCTTTCCATGACATATTGAATTTATAACAAATAGCTTTCATTAGAACATAGGAATCCATTTTTAAATCATTAACCTTCAATATTAAATCGATCAAATAGTGATTAGTAAATAAATAAAATAATATAGAAACAAAACAGTTACCCTAGTTACTTTTGGTTTCAGTTCACAACAATCTACATTTCTAATCATTTAATTGTTTGATTACTTACTTACTTACGCCTGTTACCCCTCATGGAGGAACATAAGCAACCCACTTGCATTCTACATCCAACCCTGTCATGGGTAATCCTTTCCAGTTTTTCTCAGTCACTATTCATCTTTTTCATATCTGCTTCTATTTCTCAACGTAATGTGTTCTTTGGCCTTCCTCTCTTTTCTGATTCCCTTCAGGATTCCAAGTAAGGGATTGTCTCGTAATGCCATTTGGAATTGTCTGATTACTTAACATAAAAACTGATCCATTTTATATTGTCTGTTTGAATCTTCCCATTCATGTTTGAGATTGCAATTGATCAGTCTCTTGTGGGCGTACAGGAAACTTGTGTGGATTGTTTCGATATTGCCTTAAGTCACAAGCATTACAAGTAAAGATGGATGATAGACAGTAATGGAATTCAGGATACATGTTATTTCCTATTTGAGACTTGTCAGCTGGTGTTTACTTGAATGGATCTGGATTCGAGTCCCGGGGAAAAGAGATCAGAGAAACACTTAATAATATCATAGATTGATATTATATTATTTTATTTTATTAGGCTATAACACCTTTTTCTATCTATCTTTTACTCTCATCATCCAATAACAATTTTAATGTTAAACAAGTGTCTATCAGGACTCAATAGCTAAGTGGACAACGCGATGACGTTTGAAGCGAAAAGTACTGGGTTCGAGTCCCAGAGAGAACATCAACTCTGAGATGCAGGTGCATCCAGCTGATGAGTCCAAAATAGGATGAAACGCACGTCCTCGATTCCACTGCTAGCCACTATCCATCTTTGCCTACAACGCTTGTGAATTAAGGCTATATCGAAGCAATACTCACAGTATGCACATATGCCAATTAGAGACTGACCAGTTGCAGTCCTAATACATCGATGGAAAGATTCAAACAAACAATGCTAAATAAATTTAAACTTCATCCCATTGCACAAGCAAGTGGCTATAAGGACTCCGAAGCTAAGTGGATAAAGCGACGGCATTTGAAGCGAAAGGTACTGGGTTCAAGTCCCAGAGTAAACATCAACTCTGAGATGCACATGCGTCCAGCTGACGAGTCTCAAATGGGATGAAACGCGCGTCAAACTGGATCCCACTACTAGCCACTATCCATCATTGCTCATTAAACAGTTATGTTTTAGTTATTTACTTATTAGAAAATAAACGTGTTTCAAAAACGTGCAAACTATCAATATAATTTAAGAGAAAAAAGGGGTTTAGTGAGATTTTCTAGAAGAAGAAAAAATCGTGTGTATTTGAATACCTGATGCCAATAAGATACTTTTCAATACTACTACTACCACCACTGCTAATACCATTACTACTACTACTACTACTACTACCACTACTACTACTAATACTGTGGTGTGGTCTACTTATATCCATATAAGTAGTATATGGTGTTGGTTAGACATAGAATGTATTTTGGAAGAAGACCGATGAGGAAAGAACTGAAATGAGGCGCAATCGTTTGGAAAATGCATGAGCAATGGAACAAGAGAAGAAACAATGAAGATTGAAACAATTGGTTGTTAATTTGCAAATTGACTGTTCATTGTTT